AAAAAATTAAAAAAAAAAAAAAAAAAAAATTAAAAAAAAAAAAAAAAAAAAAAAAATCAAGTTCAAGGAGAGGACCTCAGTCTTAGCAAGGACTCCTGGAGGGCAAAGTATCCTGTGAAAAATAGGATCTACTGGAGAGTTGAATCCTTCAGAAGAAACCCTAGAAAGGAAAAGGAGTTATAGCTAACGTTCAGAGAGTACTGTTCTGTTTGGAAGTCCACAACTTGAAAGAGGCTGACAGGGAAGGGCATTTGGTAAAGGGCGGGGGAGAAAGAAATATAGCATCTCCGTGGCAGTATGCATATATCAAAGGGTTACAGAAAATATTTACGGTAGAATCGATCTGAAGGCTGGAGGAAGATTAGGAAAGAACTCTAGCTTCTTCAAGTAGAGTGGGCCTCTAGAAACATTTGAAATTGAGACTTTGTTGGGGGAAAGTCAGTTACTGACAGAACTTAAAGGATGAAAATGGTAAGGTTATACAAAATCGCAACTCCAGCTGTTTCTGATTTTTCCCACTATGTAAGTGCAGAATAGCTGATGACCGTTAACAGATTGGCGGACTCAGTAGTGAATACCTATTGTAGTAGCACCTGAGTCACCGAGGCAGGAGACTCTCAGTTCGAGGCCAGCCTGGACAACATAAATCAGACAATATCTTAAGATGAGGGAGTCGGGGAAAGGAGGAAGGAGACACTAACAAGGACTGCATGGAAGCACATTAAAGTTTCCAGAGGGGAAAAAAAGGAATAGAATAGATTCAAAAAGTAGTGAGACCATTGCTCTGCCATCCAAGCTCTAGCCTGGAGGGTTTATCTGGTGATTTGCCATGCAGAACGGAAAGTAATCTATCAGAACCATGGACTCCTAAAAAAAAAAAATCAGCCATGGTAAGGTAGAGTTATCTCATTCCTTTGTCAGCATAATCAATTGCTGACAGAATGATCCAGGATACTGGAAATCCTTTTAATGATTAACTTTTTCCATACAATATATTTTGATCATATTTTCCCTCCTCCAACTCCTCCTTGATCCTGCCCACCTCCTTACCCTGCCCCTCAACTTCATGTTGTCTCACTGTCATGAAACAGAAAACGAAGCAAATGATAAAAACCATTAAAGAAAAAAAAAACCCATCAAAACAAAACAAAAAACACACATACAAAATGGAATTCATTGTATGTTGGTCAACTGCTCCTGGACATGGGGCCTGCCCTGGAATGTGGTTGGTACACCCAGTGACACTCCACTGGGGAGAACAGATTTTCCCTTTCATGGAAGATATCGACAACAAATAGTTTTTTGAGGGGTGGGACTTGGTGTCCGCTTCCCCCTCTCAGTGCTGGGATTCTGCGTGGTTTGAACTTGTGAAAGTCTTATGCATGTTCATGTGTTCATATCAACCCTGTTGCACCTAGAAGATGCTGTGTCTTGGAGTCATCCTCCACCTCTGGCTCGCACAACCTTTCCTCCTCCTCTTCCACGTAGATCTCTGAGCCTCGAGAGGAGGTTTTGATGAAGACATCCCATTTAGGACGGAGCTCACCAAAGTCTCTCACTCTCTGCTCGTTTGGTCATCCTTTTATGCTGGACAAAAGGGAAAGTATAGCAGCTAAACGCAGGGCATGTTCGACTTCCCCAAACAGTGCTGGCTGCAGTACTCAAGCCAAGTTGCTATCAGAGGAGGGTTCCCTGGTTGATGATTTTGGCTTGGCTTTCTGGGGGAGGGGGAGCAGTATCCTGAGTCTGGCTGGTGAAAGCTGATGGCTACATTTTCAGAGGACCTGTGAGCGCATCGGCTTCCTGTCGAGAGCTGTGTGCTCACAGAGAATGTTTAGACTACAAAGAAGGAAAGCGTGACACATCAGCTATTTTTCCCTTCCCCTACCCAAAGAGAACGGATCAGTAAACACTTACTAGCTCTCCACTGCACAGAAAGCCAGAATGTTAGCTAGGACTCTTGAGTAAGGCTCGAATTAGTTTAAACAAGCAGCACCCTACCCCAGCAATTTGTTCCTCCACGTAACTTGCTAATGATAAACTTCTGTAGAGACAATTATTGAACTGCCCGAGAATAAACATCCCTTGCCACCCAGCCAAAAAGTTAAAAACTATTCTTATCTCCCCAAATTGCAAGCTGTAACCATAAACAAGATTCGAGGCTCCCTGGGTCAGCATGACCTTAGAATTACTAACCAGTCAGCTACAACAAGCTTAGGCAGTATTGCTGCCCTAAAAGGAATGTGCATTTCAAGTAGTCGGTGCTGGCAGCGAGCAATGCCCTTCATCATTCCTGCTGTACAATCTCGGTCCTACCTGCTGTAAGCTGAGTTTCTGGCTCTTTTGACTTTGGAATTTTCTGGATTGGTGTCTGTCCTTATCTTACTGCCGCCAGGTTAAGGGTTCTTGGTTTTTGTTACCCTAGAGGAAAGAATCCAGGAGAGAGAGAGAGAGAGAGAGAGAGAGAGAGAGAGAGAGAGAGAGAGAGAGAGAGAGAGAGTGTTTATTTAGTAAAGCTAAGATGCATTCCACACAACTCAGGAGTGGGCTCACTCAAGGGTGGGCAGCGGTGAAAGATGTTGGTTTCTTTTCCGAAGTTTTAATGACTATGTGAGGTGGATGATGCATCCACTGGGGTTAGATGATAGCTTTTTCCTCTCCAATTACGGTAGACTGAGTTTTTCCCTCCTAGAATATTTTTTTCTCATAATCCTCTTTAAAGGCTCATAAGAAGCGGTCAACAAAC